TAATTTAAAAAATGTTTTTCTTAAGTTTATTTTTGACAGAGACAGAGCACGAGCATGAGCAGGGAGAGGGGCAGAGAGAGAGGGAGACACAGAATCCGAAGCAGGCTCCAGGCTCCGAGCGGTCAGCACAGAACCCGATGCGGGGCTCGAACTCACGAACTGTGAGATCATGACCCGGGCCAAAGTCGGACACTTAAACGACTGAGCCCCCCAGGTGCCCCGAGAGGTAATTTCAAATGAGCCATTCAGGTAAGGACCAATACTCCCAGAAATACCCGAGATGGCGTTACGTTCTCCTGAGGCTCCTCATGGCTGTCCAAAGGCCACGCTCTCTGCCACCTGTGTGCTGGGCCGAGGCCATCATCTCGTACACGGAGCACCTTCTCTCTCTTTCCCTCCATCTCAACCTATCACCCGGCGGCCCAAGACGCACTTCACCCTCGTGCTTCTGCAATCTGAGGAACCCTTCCTCTGACCAGCACGAGACTTCACGCGATCATGACCAGCACCCACTCACACGTTCTCATTTCACTTTCAAACTTTCCCAGGGTGTGCGTCCTGTCCCCACCAGATCCCACACTTCTCTGCCACCTTCAGGAAGTCATGGTTCTCAACTGATCACCTGCACGGTGCTTCCCTTCCTCCCAGGGAACCCGGGAACGACCCCCTAGGCCCTCGTCCTGAGCCCCTCCCAGGCCAGACAAGGTGCAGAGGAAAACCACCTACTTCTCCTTAATACCTCAAGTGCACAGATCTGCAAAGAAATCAGAGTGAAACAAATCACAGCAACACAACGTAAGTCAAAATGAGGCCGAAGTGCTTGAAAACCACAAAGAAAAGCGTGGACGTGATTAGGCAACAACAACCCGCTGCAGGTTCCTGAATAAGAAGACTGCTAGAATCCATCTGACGAGCAGGAACCGACACCGAGGAAGAAGAAGGAAGGTACTGCTCCTGGGGGCTCCGGGTTCACAGTGCCCTCTGTTGGAGGCTGTCCTCCCGAGCACGGTGGCCTCGGGCCTCCGTGACGGGCAGCGAGGCTGAGGCCCAGGGACGGGAGGCCCCCACGGCCTGTGCTGTCCCACAGCATGACCCCACATCGCCCCGGTGGGACACAGGCTGGATTCTGGGGGGCTGGGGGGCAGAAATGGGAAAGGCGGCCAAAGGGAAACACATGAAACGGGGAAACGAGAAAACCGGAGGCGATGACCCGGTACCGGACGCTCCTCGTGGTGGAGCCGCAGCTCGGGGATGCTGACGCCCGTCACCCTGCGGGTCACACACGGCACAGACGCCCGGCAGCACAGCCGCTCCAGAACCCTGGGCCCCCGCACAAGAAGATGGCATCACTAACAACTACTGGGCCGGGACCCTGCCACCCACAGGCAGTTTCTGACCTGGACAAACGTCAACCTCATACGGTGCGGCCTGACCCTGCGCCCGGACCCTCTGTGTAAGTCCGTCAGCCCTCACGGCCTGGCACGCGCGCCCAGGGATGTCGCCGCACGACGCGGCGAGTGACGCGGGGCCGCCGCGCGCACGTCCTCCCCCCCCTACTGGGACTGCGGAGCAGGGGAGGCGGCCTCTGCCTTTCCTCCTCCTCCTCAGTGGTTACCTCACGCCCCCCGCACGGCAACGAACCGCGCACATCCCGGGAACCCGACCAGGAGGAAGACACACGTCCCGCTGCAGAAGCGTGTCAGCGCCAGAGACGACTTAGGCACATCACGCGAATACAAACCGGAGCCGCGGGGGAGAGCCAACAGCGGTCCCTGAGCAGACACGGGCGTACTGCCTACGACCCCCCGGCCGACGTCTCGCCTCCCACGCCGCTTCAGCTCACCGTGACGACCCGGCACAAGTGGTCCCCTCTGCTCCCCTCCGACCGGCCCCGTGTGTCAACCCTCAGAGGCCATCGGGTGTGTCACGCCACCCGCACGTTCATCTCCGTCAGCCCTGCTGCGTCTGAACCCCGTCTTTCCTAAGAAGGCACCCGTCCCGTTTACCGCCTCACCCCCGGGCCTCGCACAGAGTGGGCCTCGCTAAATATACTGCAGAATCCACTCCTTTCTAGCAGCTTTACTTTTCTGGGTGTTTTGGTTTGTTTTTTTTTAAGTAGAACAGAAACTGCAGGCCTCCAAATTGATCACGGCAAAATAAGAAAATAAACAGACAAACAAACAGAAACAAGACGGGCCTGAGCTGACCAGTGAGGCAGTGGGTGGTGGGCACCTGGTTCGTCGCACGGTCTGGCTGGTTGTGAGCGGAACGTTCCCACGATACAGAGCTTCAGACAGACGGACACAGAGTCACACCACAGATCTACAGTTATTTGAGGGGGAAAGGCACCTCCAACTCATCCCTGTGGGGAATACTTACCCGTATAGAGGCCCATCATTGCCAATAGCAGAAACCATGATTACGTTGTTAGCCGTTAATTCCCACACCTACGGGACGAGCAAACATTTAATTATGAAAACATACCGCTCTCAAACAATCAACACAGAACTATCCAAAAATACCTACGACTCCTAAAAATAATCCTCGAAAAAGAAGGGTGCCCTCGAACACGTTAACACTAGACCCTCGCAGGCATGGATGTTTGCCAAACAGCGTTTTCGCGGTGCTGAGAAAACGGGCCTCATCACGGGCCTGAGAAAACGTGTCCATCGCGGGCCTCACGATGGACACGCAGGAGCCCACTCTCCGCGCAGGTGCAGAAAGGCGCTGTTCGGAGCAGAAACCAACACGGCACAACGTGCGGCCTCCAACACAAGTCCCCAAAGCTCACGCCACCGCCCATCGTCCTCACTAGGCAATTGCCTCGCGGGTGAGGGGCCACCAGCACAGCAGGGACGAAGTGCTCAGAGCAGAAGCCATCATCAGGAGCACGGTCCTTTGTGCGGGGACACGACCCACCTTGTCGACGAAGGGATGGTCCATGAAGTCGGGGCCGCCGATGCTGAGGTTCAGCACATCCACCTTCTTCAGGATGGCGTAGTTGAAGGCGTCCAGGAACCAGGAGGTGTAGGATACCTAGTTCAATGGCCAAATACGACTTTAGGGGCCTCAGGGAGCCTCCAGGTGCCACAAGAGGGTTTTGTTGCTAAGGGCAGAGTACAACCTCTGAAGCAGCGTGATGCGTTAACTTCGATTTCAGAAATAAAAACCAAGAACAAACAGTGCTCCGAAATATAAACTCTGGCACCTGGAAATTCTTAGTCCCTGCAGCTGGACTCGAGGGAGAGCCGCGTCCTGAGGGTGGCTTGTCTCTCCGGGTTGAACGTCCAGCTCCTCAGCTTAACGTACACCTGCCGGGGTGAACCCCCAAGCCTGTAACTGTCCCTCCTTCAGAGGATTTATCCTAAGACACTTCCCTTTGAGAGTTTCTACGTAGGTTAACGTATTTGTCGAGGTTCTTTATTCCTCAACAGACTGAAGAGCAAACCTCATAAAAAAGTTATTTCATAAAATTATTTCTCTGATATTCCACTTCCTGGCAGAGTCAAATGGCTTTCTGTATCACCGTTCAGATGTTTTTATAAAATACTAAATTAAACTTCTAGTACAAAAGGGATTTAAGTATTTGTTTAAGAACTTAAGATTTCTGTTTCTTAAAGGCTTTTAAAAACAAAACATGTTTACGTTTGCTTGTACAGGCAAAAAAAAATTCCAGGAAGAGGCGATACATGAAACGGAGAAACTGTCATGGGGGAGACGTGAGGTGTAAGGGAAACCCCCTGCGGGCCGGGAAAAGGTTGGGGGGATTTTCCCCGTGTTGCCTTCAGATATTTTTGAGCTATTTACCATGTACGCAAAAATAAAATCTGAAAAGTATGTAAACACGAAGACCCTCCCCCGTTCTATAAATATTTAGGAGGCGAGGAAGCGGGGTCGGGAAGCACACTGCCCAGCGTGACACCGGGGGCCGTGGTACGGAGCCAGCCCTCGAGCCCGTCACCACACAGCAGGGGTGGCAAACACCAACGTGCCCTTCTTCTCTCGTCTAGGAAGCACAACGTGCCCACGGACGTGGGGGCCCGGGGGCCCAGGGGCCCAGGAAGGAATGAGACGGGGACGAACCACCACGGCCCTCAGAATGGGGTCTTCAGGGTTCGCGGGAGGCTG